TTTTTTTTTTTTTAATATCTTTGAAAGAGAATATTGCCTTCCTGATGGGGATGGAACAATTGCTGTTCTGAGTGACATAACAGTTGGACTTGAATTTGAAATGTCTTTATCCATGACATCTTTTCTCTATCCCTCCCTCCTGCTTGGTAGGGACCAAATGTCTCTTTGGGACACCATGTAAACTTTGCTGCCTAAATGTGCATCAGAATACATGTTTGAGGTACCTAATGTGGCAAGTGCTAAAATAAACACTTTGAGCACTTTAAGATTATGAGTCATCAATCCCTGGCTGCTGTTTTTCTATTTCAATAATTGATATAACCTATCTGGAAGTTACTTTCCAGAGACCTTCTCACAGTGATCGACAATAAATCTTGAATAGAAATAAGCTAGAAAGTTCAGGTATCTGTGTGCAGTATTTTAAGATTTGTTGAATTCAAATTCTAAGAGTTTAATTTGTCTTTAGTGCTACTCTATTCTACACCTTAGAAGACCTTAGTCTGACAAACAGGGAGTTCTGTAGAACTGAAGGGTTTGCCTTATGGTGACTTGGTGTATAGAGATCATGATTATGCATCTGAAGAGCATTAAATCTATGAAATGCTAACTGACTGGACACAGCTTCAAATAAATATTCTTTGCATTCTTTATCATACCTCCAGTATCTTGTGCTGTATGAGCACATGGTGGAAATACTATTTCTGTAGCTCTTGCCACTTCTGTTATACTGAAAAATGTTTACTTTTTATGAAGAAATCTTTATAATTAGTTTTAGGCTCAAAAGTGAGACAGACTTTAGTCCAGAAGGATCATAGGAATTGCCTTTTTGGTGGACTGTTCAGTTTAGGAGCATCAAATATTTCAAAGGAAGAATCTAATACGTAACAGGAATTTATTTTTTTTTATGAAGAACTGCTAATGATTACATACAGAATCACTCAGTAATATTGACCTTTTAAATGTTGTGTTCTGTTTTGCAGAAGACCCTTTTGAGGACTTCTTCGGGGGCAGGCGGGGTCCAAGGGGAAACAGAAGCAGAGGTGGTGGATCATTTTTCTCTGCCTTTGGTGGATTCCCTGCTTTTGGAAGTGGTTTTTCTTCATTTGACACAGGTAAATATCACAACATTTAACAAAGAATGTAGTTTTGGTTCACAAAAAATCTCAGTAAAAGAAGCTAATAAATATAAAAGTTGCCTTCTTTCAGGAAATTGAGGTTGCTTTTTTTAAAGTCAAGCTGCTCTCTGTAAAGTCTGAAAGTATGTATGGTGTACCTAAAAGTTCATGAAAAGTAAATAGACCTCCAAGAGGTTGAACTTTTTGTGTTGTTAATTTTGGTTTCTTTATAGCTTTAGAATTGGTTTTGTTCTGTTTGATTTTAGGTGTTGGGGGAGTGTGATGGCTTTTATTTAAGGTCCTGAAAACACAGTGGAAAAGTGTGTGTCTAAAACCCATGGTACTGCTTAATGTCAGCTCTGGGGTAGTCAGTTTGAATGCTGATCTCTGTATCTCAGAGGTTGCTGAGGATTGCTGATAATCTGCATCCTTTCAAGTGTTAAGATTCTGCATATTAGTTGGGATGTTAGTGATACAAAACTTGATCTGTTAACTCAGGACATCCTAACATCTCCATTAAAGCAAAAAATCAGATTCATTACAGTTACTAGCTTTACCTTGAGTGGAAAGAATGATATAAGGTTGAGTTCAGCAGACAGGCTTGAATGCCTTTTCTCTGGGGGAGGAGGTGACAAATGGTTTCTGTGCAGTGCTGTGCATTTGGAATTTGAACTATGGGGGTGTCTATATGGGAGAAATTGATGGGGCTGGAGCCATGTTTTTTATTCTCACACTGGTGTGTAATGCCATCTGATCACTGATGCTGTGGTGATGCAACCAACTAAGGGCATCCTGAAGCTAGGATATAGATTGAGTGGATGATAAATTTGGATCCCACAGTCATGCAAAAATAAATTTTCAGTCAAATACCTTCTTTCTCAATAGGCTTTACTTCATTTGGTTCTTTGGGACATGGAGGCCTTACTTCATTCTCCTCTACGTCATTTGGTGGCAGTGGGATGGGTAACTTCAAATCGGTATCAACTTCAACTAAAATAGTTAATGGCAGAAAAATTACTACAAAGAGGTAAGTGATACAAAATATACTTTTATGAAACTATGCAGAGACATACATAGCTATAAATACATGCATATATATATATATATACACACACATACAGTGATACATGTGTGTATATGTATTTTAACTTCTGGTGTTGTGGTCATTACATTACCTGGATTTCTCTGCTTTAAAAAAAAACTGTAAATATGAAAATCTGACTCTTCTTGGCATTACTGAGTTACCTAAATCTGTAGCATGTGAAGGTGGTGTTTTTATCTAAATTCCTGATAGTTGAGGAGGGTTTAGTTGTTATAAGATGCTTTCAGAACTGCCCTGATGAAAAATGAAGGTTGGAACTTGTTTGCTGCTTGGAAGGGACCTGGCAATGGAGCTCTTCCAGGCCTTCAGAACCTCCCGTGTAGTGAGATACATCTTTTATTACAGTCCTTGACTACTGTCTGACAAGTCAGCTTGAGCTTCTGGAAGGGAAAAGTGTGCTTTGTTTCTATTGATTGTGAAGCTTTTAACTTAGGGGATTGGGAGGACTTTTAATTTTGCAGACATTATGAAACATGAAACACTCTTCTCGAACATCTGCTTTCATTTGCTTTCCTAGGCAGTGTTTGAGTGAAGTTTTTATGTAAAAAGTAATTTTCTTTTATCTGTTAAGTGAAATAAGCAACTGAAACCTGCTTTGGAGAAAATTTCCTGTCTGTTGGAAAGTGAATTTTTAAGTACTATATATAGTGTAACTTTTCACTGTTTCATTCTTGTGATGGGGAAATCACTGCTTTTGGGAAACCCAAATATTAGTTAGCTATAGAGTACTCTCTAACATGGAACTTTGTGATCAGTAGTAGTACCAAACAAGTACTTAAATCTAATTTCAGTACTTAATAAAAATCTATGGAAGAGCAAGGGAGAACAATTTTTTGTCTGGTCACTTCTGTTCCGTATTACAAAATGCAAGGTTCTTCTGTGTCCTGTTGTGCTGGACAGATCCTGTCATCCTGACCACTTAAACGCAGCTTTTGTCATCACACTGTGGTGTGGTCATGCTATTTTTCTGGGGGTGTATTCCAGAAAAAACTGAAAACTGCCCACTTTTGAGGGAATTGTACCAGGTGAGAGAGGTCAAAGGTGGTGTTTATGCAAAAGAAGATAAGGCACTATGTTTGTTGTAATACTTAAAAATAGACTAAATCAGGTATGCTGCTGTCATATCTTCCTAGAAAGAGGAGGGGAGAAGCAATAAATGTGGTTAGCCACATCCTAGAGATAGCAAACTTGTTTTCCTAGAAGTCCTGCTACTTTGTAGAATGCTTGTTCACAGAGTAGCTAAGTCTAAAGAAGATTCATATCCCAGCATACCCAATGAAAATCTTCTCTGAATAATATTTTGCTTCAGGCAGGAAGCTGTGCCCTCTGTTTTTAATATGGATGTGTTCTCTTCAATAAGTCTGATCTCCAGAAAAATCTCTGTTCATCCACGTGGTTTCCTCATTTGAATCATGAGGGGAGAATTCCCAGATAGTTAAAATTTAGACATAAATTAAATGTTCTAAAAACAATTTAAACATTCCTTATCTTCCCATTTTGAAAATAAACAAAAAAGCCCAAACCCACAAAGCTTTTCAGTCTCCTTCCAGTCAGGGGTATTTAAATTTTGCGATGTATATGGTGGTCATAAACTTGATATACAGTAGGTCTCCAAATGAATTGCTCTGATCAAATTAAAAGTGGATTAAAGACTGTCTTGCGTGCCTTACATCATGCAAAATTTTGATTGGGTCTAGAATGTTAGGTGTTTAACAAATGGGTAGGTACTAAATGCAGTGTCAAGATTGTACAGTTGATCTGTCAAAAGACATTTAGTTCTAGATAATAGTGTGTTAGTGTCAGTACAACTGTGACAGTGTATGAGGTGACAGCTATAACTGTGAACTCTACAAACTGGAGGATTCAAAATCTGAAAGCAATTTTCCTGCTATAAATAAGCAATATCAGTGGGGGAATGCAGATGGTTAGTAGTTACAGCTTCTGCGCTGTTAAATGCAAAAGCTTGCCAACTACAGTTGCATTAAACAGACAGTGCTCTGTTACAGTTCATTATCTAAAAGCCTGGGTCTGGTGTGTGTTTTCAAACTGCTTACAGTGCTTTAAAATGGCTGTGGTTTTGTCCTACAGAATTGTTGAGAATGGACAAGAGAGAGTAGAAGTTGAAGAAGATGGCCAGTTAAGGTCGCTAACAATAAATGGTAAGGAGCAGCTGCTACGCTTGGATAACAAGTAATTCAACGCACGCATTTAACAGAAATTTTAAGCTATAACAGCCACCATTTGAGGATTGACAGGAACATTTTTTGAAGATTTCAGATGAACTCAACTTTCTGTATATCCGTACTTAAGTAGTATAAATAGCTCACCGAAGCTCGTATTTGTCATAGACTTTTGAGTTAATTGTTGGGACCACATCAATTGGACCATTTTTTTGTCCTTAAAATTGTTGTAAATTTCTGTATGCACTTTTCTTTTTATTATATATGATCAAGGTGAACCATGATCCTTCAGTAGTGCTAGGGCAAGATGTACACTAACACTAGCATGAATCTTGCTTTTTCCAATTTGAAATGTGAGCCAACTAGTAGTTTAAGTCTGCTGTGAAGTTAACATTTCCAGGATAACCTTTTTAATAATTTCAACTTTTTTTTAAATGTTTAGTAGTGAACAATGTTACTACATTTCTGGTAATGCATTTCTGGTTTAAATAAATTAAGGATGTTTTCTAGTTGTGCATGAATGCAGACAACTTAGTAAGTTTTGACAAATGTTTAAATGTGTAATGTAAGCAAAAGGTAAACAGAAGTGAAGCCAGTGAGCTGAGTCTTTTGTCATTTGCTAAAAAAAAAAAAATTCAAAATGAATAAATGCTGATGTTTGTGGTGCATTCTTTCATGAATGGCATTTGTAACCTTCTTGTGTCTGTGTGTGATTTGGGCAACTTGGGAAAACAGTGCTTTTTTTTTTTCCTACCACCTCTTTCTTCAATCTTAAGGATGAGGGCCTTTTTTCTTTGCAGATGTTTTCTTCAGTGTGATTGAAAACATGATATTTAATTGCTTTTCTAAAGCTGTATTTGAAGCACCTGTTTTTTAAGAAGCATTCAGAGGCTGACTCTAACTCCATCTTTGCCTTAGTACATAATTTTTTTTGGTCTAGGCCTAAAGTAGCACTCTAAAAATAAAAAAAAAAGTTTTCTAAAGTTTTAAGTTCTGAGATTGCTTTAAAAAATAACCTGTAGTGAACATAAATATACAGAAAAACATTTAATAATTTAAAAAATGCATTCTGAACAAGATTTTTTGCTTATTTTGAGAACAAATATAATTGCTTTCAAGATTTGAATAATTGGTGTTAAAATCTCTCAATTTTAGTCATCAACCAAAAACTGAAAGATGGATTAATGCCTTCTGTTAAATTGAGTGAAGTAAAGTTAATTTGTAGCTAAGACTGGATTTTCAAAGTTTAGTGAAAGATGACTTGATTTTTGTATGTCATGGCAAGAGCATGCAAGTAATGATTGGCATATGTTAACACCTGTCAGGCTCTGGGTAATTTCATGCATAAGTCATGGATGTGTGTGTTTTTATCTGCACCAGTTTTGAACATCTGGCCTTCACAAAAGTCTTTAGGGTGGCTTAGTGTTTAAAAAAAAAAAGCATGGTGTTTTCAAATGATCACTTAATGCCTTCTTGCTGAACACCATCTGCTTTGTACTAACAAATGCGTTGATTATTAAATAAATTGAGAACATTTGTTCTTGTTCAGCATGCAGGAAAACCAATTCAACTTAACCCAAGCCAACAATCTAACAAACTGCTACAACAGAATTCATATTTGCAGCAAAGTTAGTGTATCTTACATTTGTCCCTCTACCATTAATGATAATTTCATAGAACCAAACAAAATAACAGGTAGAAGAAGAAATAAATATGTACTTTGGTTTTGGGACTACAGAAATTATGTACCTTTTCAAGTTCTTTGCAGAGTTCTTGTTACTTCAGTGTTGTGTTTTTGGTGTAGAAGCACAAACTCAGTTTAGAATTAAACAGTGTTTTCTTGTTAATGCTGTTTCTTCCTTCCCCATGTATGTTCCTTCTTGATCCAGATAACTAAACAGACAATTTATTTTGAAGTCTGGCTTTGTTGTGATGTCTTGAGTTATTAAAAAATGTTGATTTATATTTATAGGACACAGTGTTCTCCTTTAAATTATGTAAACTGTAAAAAAGTGCTTCAAAATTGGTTAACCAAGTTAAATAAAATTAGGACAATCTGGAGTTGAGTTTGAATTCCTTCCTGTGAATACCCATAGGTTTTATGTTGATCTGCCAAACTTCACCTTCTATTTTAATCCCGGTTAATCTTCTTTAACATTTAAATTACCTAGCTCAAGTTAAGAACGCAGTTATGGTAGCATAGCTGCTAGTGGCAAATCTGTACCCACGTGCTTGCCTTAGATGATCTTACTCAGAAAAGTGCGGTCCTTCTCATGGTGTTATACACAAACAAGTTCACTCCAGGGTTCTGTAATGAAGTCTTTTACCACTAAATTTTCTGAAGATCCAGTGTTTTGGATAGTCTGTCTGCTGCCTTCACATCCTTGAAGCTGGATCTTGTCAGAACTAGACGAAATGCAGCATTGAAGTGCAGCACTGCGCTTTCTTTGTAGAAAGAGAAACTCAGAACACAAAAACACACAAGATGAGTCAGCAGAAGGCAGAATTCATCAGTAAAGTTTTCTGTAGTTGTAAGCAGATACCCAGACACCAGTGTTTGAATAGGCTAATGGCTGAACTGGATTGGTTCATGATCTTAGTCCAAGTATACAACTGGATTGGCATTTCCAGTTCCAGATGTAAAAAATTGTCACCTCCTTACACTTGACCTAAGCCTGATAGTTTTTACCTGGGTTTTTTTTTGAAATAACACTACATCCAGCTTCTTTTTAAATGCAATTTCTTGCATCCAACTTCATTTTTAATACACAAAATGGATCATTCTCTTTGCTGTGGATCCAATTTAAGTTCTTCATATTATGTATTGTATATTTAGAATTTCCTCTTATTTGTGCTGCTAAAGTGAGTTTCTTTTCTCTTGAAAACCCGCTTATTAGGGAGCTCTGAAAAATTTTACATCATTCTTTACTAATATGTAATTTGTATCGATGTACAAAACCTACTCACTAGAAGTAATGGATCATCAAGGGCAGCAAATTTCCTTAAACTTCAATTTTGGCCAAAATAGCACAAACCACCTAATAACAGGAAAGGTTATTAATTCTAGCAAATACTAGGCATCAAATGGACAATGGAATGAGATGGCTTTCAAAAACAGGTACTGTTTGATTAAAAGTACAATTTCTTCATACAGAAGGGATTAATTTTGACTGTTTAGGAACACCATCCATTTTAAGTTTCCTCCAGTGGTTTGGAAAAACTAAGATGGAGTTCTTGAACCTTCCAAGTCACTTATTCTTTCATGCACTGCTTCAAAGTTCATTGGTAGAATACAATAACTTTGTAATGCTTTTTCTTGGTGCAGCCTCTTTGTGGTCTCTTGTGCATGGCAGTAATTTCAATGCAGTATGCTGTAACACAAGTTTCTCCTTAGATTGCATGGCACCTACCCTTTTCACTTGGCTTTACTGAAGAAGTTTGGGATTTTGCGTTGGAATGCTTCACATTTCAAAATGGTTGCAGCTATTCCTTTCAGTTCTCACAATACTTTCTCTGTTGAGAATCACAGGCATTGCTGCTCTGCAGAGTAAGTGTATGTCACAGTTGTGAGATGTATACGGTATCAGCTTGTGATTAATTGATGGACTGAGTCTTAGAATGCTGAAAACAAGATTGTGAAAGATTTAAACTCATCATCTCTGAGCTCAAGGGTTTTATGTCTCTATGTTAGTGTTTGTGTTTGGCTGTCCTGTTCACTTGCTTCCTGTGGTGTATTGGTGTTAGGTGGAAGTGGAGGTTTGTCTTTTGCATTTAGCAGTGCTGTGTTTCAGACCATCCCTGGGATGATCCAGTGGTAATGTTAGATTTTATTTTTTGGTTTTGGAAACATGAGTTCTGTTCTTGAATCTGCTTTTATTCTGAAGTCAGCTCGTTTCCTATTTTGTCTTAGTTTAATCTGTGTTTGTAACAGGATAGTACGTACTTCTAAAGATGGTTGCATTGTAAAATGTATGCTACAGCTGTATGATGCTTATGGGCACAGACCTTTTAAAAAGTGCCTGGTATTTGTGCAGTGCTTTAACTTAATATTAGAATATCATTAACCTTTTTGTGGAAGCATTTCCTAGTACTTTCGGAAAACCTGTCTCTTTGGTTGTGTTTTTTGGATGCCTTAGTATTTAGGCTTATGTTTAAGTCATGGTGTTGTAACAGGGTACTTGCATTACAGACATCAGTAACCTGCCAGTCTGCGGTAACCTGAACTTTGAAACTTAAGGATTTTTAACATAAGAAAAGGAAGCTCGTTTGCACTGTCTGCTCCCTCTTGTCTAGTTTACTTTGGGACTGAATTGTGACCACAGATTTGCTTTATGTAGTACTCAAGGTAGACACTTCGGGTTTTCTTGTTGTTGCTTGTCCTCAAGTGGTAAGTAAAAAGCTTTTTATTTTCCATCTGAAATGGTCCCTTTGTTGCAATAGTGTTGAGTGAAGCATATTAACTTTTGTTAGTCTTACAAACTATACCTTTTGAACTTGTAATTTTAGTGGGTTTACTGCTTATTCTGCTTTGGTTTTTGGAAAAAGTACCTTGACTAGAGTTGGTTTTGAAGTGCACTACTGAAAAGTTAGAGCAGAAGATGGCTGGTTTATACTCTGCTACATAGGTCGTGAATTGACAAAACAGTAAGCCTCACTTTTGAGATGCTGCTGTCAGATTTTTTAAAAATAATAAAAAAAAAAAAATGCTGTGACCACCTGAGTCTTAATCCTGAACCTGTGCAAGCTGACCGCTGATTCACTCATTGAAACTTCTCTGAAAACTATGTTCTGGCAGACTTAGCACTGGGTTAGGTGTTATCTTGCTTACAGCAGCTGGTAGAAAGTTAATTGAAAACCCATGTGAGTACTACATCCCCTGTCACGCTTACCATGTCTAAAATACATGCAGTAGTTTGAATGTGATAGTACCCAAATCTGAAAGCTATGAAGTCCTGGTGTGAGGTAGATTGCACTGGTGG